AGTATATAAGAAGACGTTAATAACATCTGTCAGTTAACCATTAAATATTCCTTGGAGATTAATATCTTTCTCAAAATATCAAAGAATTCTCAGACAAAAATCTGTTTTCTTTTTGTCAAGATAATCTTTGCTATTAGACTACAAGGCTTTCTTTATTCAATAATGTAAATATAGACAAAAAATTTCTTTTGATGATTGACTCATTTATTTTTCCTCACTAAACTGTAATATTTTTTTCCTTCATGTCTATCATAAGAATATTTTATCGAATGATATTGTCTATTTGTATGTATAATGGTATCATACATATGACGTCAACATGCGTAACGACTAGGCATTTGTTCTACACTAATCTTGAATAAACGGAAATTTAAGACTACTTCGACTATATATCTATTGACCTTCTTGTAATACTCATATTTAGTTTAGAGTTTTTTTGCTCATGAACGTTTCTTGCATAATCATAAATATCGTCTATGTTATAGACTGTTGAAATATTGATTATTCTCTTAGGCTTCACAGTATGGATTATATTTTATTTATCCATTTTTATTGTCGATCGTGGAAAGGTCATCTTTATCTTAATATCTATCATCTGGAAATATTTGGCCAGTTTTTATTTTTCTATCATGTTATAAGAATAATAAAAAACATGATTGTGGATATTTTGATTTGATCAATATTGAGAACTTTTCTTTTTTTTTTTTTTGATTCTGTTTTTTCTCTTCATAGGACATTCATATGTCCATATTAAGAGAGAGAAAATAACAAGGACATGCTCTGCGGTATATATAAATTCCTATCAAAATAAGAGCCAGCGAGAGAGTAAAGCGTTAATTGTCATGAATGTCAATTGTAATCGAAATAAAATATCATTTTGGCGTTTTATTATCTCAGAACCATTTTATATAATTATTCGTTCAATTTCATATAATTTTAATTATTCATTAAAATCAACTAAATTTCTCATTGTAATATTTCCGCGAAATAGTTGGACGAAAGGTAATATAAGAAAATAATAAATCATTCCTTGTCAAACGTATCAGTACACGAGAATGATATCCTTGGAATCGATTATTTATTATATTCAAACAGAAATTAATCAAATACTGTTTCTTTTTGTGTGTTTCTAGTTCGTCGGAGTGAAACGATCTGCTATCTAATTGGTTTTGGTATTGGTGTTGGTTGTTGTATTATTTATCGTCTTCTGACAAATTTTCTGACTTCTGCAACAAATACAAATTTATCTATTAAATCACAAAATAATGTAAGTTAAAAAGAATATTCTATAATAAAAGTTAGTTTCTTTTTTGTATATATATAGACAAAAAAATCACTGTCATTGATATCAACAAATAATTGTAATGTAAATGAAAACGATTTAATAAATATAAAACATGAACATGAATATGATGATGATAATGATGATATTCGTAATAATACAATCATGGATGAAATGACCTGGTCAGAAATGTCTTCATCATTAAGCGCAACTAATCTTTTTCAGGATTCTTATCATTCCAATTCATTCACAGGTGATTCAGGTGTTGATTGTCCTGAAATACCTATTCGAAATCATCGAAAATATGATTGTAATGATAATGAAATATTATTAAAAAAATATGATTCAGATATAGGACTTCATCATGATACACGTAAATAATTTTTTTTTTCAACAAAAACAATCTTCTAATTTTTTTTTTTCTTTAAGAAACAGTCACTGAATCTCATGTTATGTCTTATATATCAACAGAAAAAGGTTTAGAACGTGCATTAGAACAAACAAGTCGATTTTATACAGATCTTGAACATATTGCAACTGATCTTGGTACATTAACTAAACGATATTCACAATCTCATCAATCTATTGATGCACTTGATTGGGACTGGATTGATGATATTCAATCATCTAAATATAATCAACGAAAACAATATCAACCATTAATACGTTCAAATAATAAAAATAAAATTCGACGACGTTTAAATACAAATATAAATCAAACAGATTATAATGAATCAGATAATGAAAATCGTTCATTTGATTATTCAACTTCACCATTAAGACGAAGTATGAACCAACAAAAATCAATTTATTTTTTGTATTTAATTTAAGTCATTTTGTTTTATTTTAGAACATAGTTCAGTTTATTTTGATTCAACGGATAATACAAGTGACGAAGATCATCAAGGAGATGAAACATTACAAATGAATTCATAGATAAGATTTCTGTTTTATTTTCAAATCTTATCATTCATTTCCGGTGGTGATCAATTGAAGAGTTTCTCAAGAAGAAAAAAACAATATAGATATATATATATATATATATTCTATAGATGCAATGAGATCTCTTTCAGTATGTCAGATTATGTCCATGTATTGTTAATCAAATATTTGCTTTATGCTTCTGCCTTCTCCTATATGTACAATGGAATATCTTTTGCTTATTATCTACCTTGTTGTCCTTTTTTTTTCTTTTTGTTCAAAAAATTGCATTTGATTATTCTTAAAATAGATCAATAAACAATTCTCTATCATAGTCTATAGCATGACGTTTAACATTGTTTTATATTTGCTATTGTTATTCTCGTCCTAGATGCATGAATATTTTCAAATAAAATCAATGAGTTATGTTTGAAAGGACATTCATTTCTATAAAGGTTCGCTACAGCAGTAAGATAACAACTCTATGAAAATACGCTCTTTTAATAGCAACGTGTTGCAATTAGACATGTGTGGGATTAATTGTTTTTTGGTGCCAATTTCGATGTTGCTCACATCTCTTTAGATCGTATACGAGTCGTGACATCATGACATCTAACACAAATTGTATACGATCATGATAGATATCGTTCTTAATGAAAAAATGTTGGTCCTGATTTTGAAACGATCTTTCCGATATCTAATTCCAATACTTCAGTTTATACTGATGTTAATGTGCACTAAAATACACTGAGTCGGTGGTCAGGAAAATGAAACAACATATCCCAATTTCTAAATGAATTATAACTTCAAAAGAACATTTTGAAAAAGATTTATTAAGTTCGATTAGGTCATTATTTTCTTTTTTCTTATGACATTTTCATCGTTTTGCCAACGGCAATATATATATATATATATATGTATTCAGTTAGGGATTATTGATGGATTATGATCAAAAGAATGTGTACAAATGAAATTTTTATTGATTTATCAAGTTGCATGAATGTTTACAGGAATTTTTTATTCTCAAAGAATAATGGGTTATATTATTTGATTTTATGTAAAAATGAGATGAAAATCTTTCAAAGACAAGAAGCTTATTTATTGTTTTGTTATTGGTACCATGTATACAGTTATTAAAATAAAATAGAATTGTTTCATATTTATTAAAAGAAAGCGAAGAATGTTACATATAATCTTGTCGGAATTATGTCAAGGATGACTATCACTGATAACATATAATTGAAAAGATTTATGATCTTTAGTTGTTAGTTGTTGTGCTCTTCAACCGAAAAGTAATTAAATATGAAACGTCAAAGAAAATGACGATATACCTAACCTGTCTAAGTTCTAAACTCCAAAATCAAATAACATGATGACCTTTGTATATTTATTCATCAGTTTGGCTTCAACATTTGTCATCTATCGTTCTCGATGGATAGATGTTAAAATGTCCTAAAACATGCAAATCTATATTACACATAATAGAATACTCAACTGTCATAATTAACCTTTAAATTGATTTACCGAACATGCCATCAATGACTAAATGATAAACAATGGGAAGATGATCACAGCTGAGGTACAATTTAGAGAACTGATTTTGGAGTTAGTAGTATAAGCCTAATTTATTTTTTTTTGCATATGGATAACATAAATATTGTTCGAAAGAATTATTATTGACGTCATAAAAGAAATGTCAATTGTTGTCAAGTAAGAAAATATATGTGGACCGACTAAAGCTGAGCGTGAATCACGATCATGACCGTGGTCGTTTTAAAATTTCATGACCATGAGTAAATTTTGGTTATGGAGAGTTACGATCGTTAAAATAGCTACACCTCATGTATTTCCTTTTAAGTATTTAGTTGTTCTACAACACAAATGACCTCGTCATTTGTATAGATCCAATATCTGTAACTACTTTACTATGTAATAAGTGGCCTACATAAATCACACATAGCATTAATTATAATTTCTATCTTGAACAATAAAAAGACCACAGTAAAGTCAAACTATCTTGAACAATACCTTTCGAGTTCCAAATGACTTGTTAATTACTTAGTTGACTTGATAAATTTTGTTCTTTAATATTAAATTGATTTTTGATTTTTTTTCTGTCGTTTTGAATCATAAAATCGATTTATTCAACCTTCATCAATAATACAGAACTCGTCATAAATTAAAATCAATATCTGTGACTACTGTGACTGACTAAAAATGTGTAAGACCAAGTGTTGTCGATCCGGATATTGGCCTATAAGAAATTATTTTGAAATTTATTTAGACTAAGTCTCAATCGAAATACTAAAACATTTGAATATAACCATTGTTGTCGGTAAATCTTCAAATTTTGGTTCCGCACATTGATAAAAGCAACTCTTAAATCATGTTTAGTTGTTATTTAAGAGAATATATAAAGAAAAAAATTAAAACAAACTTTATTAATCATATCTCATGAATACAAATCAAGCAAATATTACAAACTAATTTGATTATAAATCGATGACTACAATATTTCAAAGTTTCATACTTGAAATATTAGTTTTGCAAACAAATTAATAAACCAATATCTCAAGCTTTTATTAAGACTCTATATATCTAATTAACAAATTTGATAATTTGATTGAATAACAGTGAGAGATATTTATGACTTCGCTTGTATATTCATTTGAAAAAAAAATGTATGTGAATAAAATGAAATGAAAAATATATAGACTAAATTGAACACAATAATTTACAGGTGTAATATCAATATCAGATAGAAAAAAAGTTGAATTTTTATTAAGATTGATATGGATTAGTAAAAATGATTATCAGAAAATTTCATTTGAAATAATTGAGAATTTTCAGTTGTAGGTATTTCCGAGATTGTATCGTCGTATTTAAAATAAAGATTATCGTGTATTTCGACATTTGCATCAATTGACATCATAGTATGATCAAAAAATAAAAGTTTATCGGTGACTATTTCCGAAAGTTCAATATTCTCTTTGATATCATCTGCTTTTGTAAACACTTCTTCAACAAATATTTTTGTTACTAATTCATTTTGAACAACTGGAGCTGATGAAATGATCATTCCCATGATCAAACATAAAGTAAGAAAAATGAATATAGTCCGATTAGAAATCATTGTATTGTGCAAATGAAATCTCTTGTGCATGAACAGGTTGAAAGAGATATATAAATGAAGGTATTATAAGTTACGCGCTATTCTATTTTCTCGAAACTTAATAACATCTTTTCTTGCATTTATTTATTTTCCTATTTTCGACTAATAGATATTATAAATAGACTAACGAGAGAACGTTTACAACTGATCACTGACTTTCTCATTGAAAGTTAATAGATTGTAAATTATTTAGCTCTGGTCTTCATAGATTCGTTTTCCAGACGAACAAATATTTTTTTGAAAATCATTTTATGATCTACTTAGATTATAGAGTATATTAAAGTGTCAGTAGTATTTTCTGAAGATTTTCACATTGAAATGTAAATAGGCATCTATAATATTTTCTGCAAAAAAAGAAAGATTTGAAATAGAAAAAGTTGATATTTTCGAGATACTTCAATATGTTCTGTAATCTGTAACAGACAAAAAACAATTTTGGGCAAAAAAGGTTTTCTATCTAGAAAACCAGCATGTAGAAATTTTGGAAAGATTTCTTACGGTCCTATTTAGAGTTAGCATGGTCGATAATTTTTTATCTACTAGCTTCTGGTAAGAAAGCAATTGATCAATTTAAAATATTCTCTTGTAAGACAAGGATAGAAAATGTTCTTGCTATCTACATCATTTTATCATACGACTTTGATCACGTTATATCATCTTACAAAGAATCACCATCTATTAGAAAAAAATTAAATAATTTTCAATAGGAAACTATTTGAAAGATCGATTCTCTTCAGTATTTAATACACTTAAATTGAAAAACAAAATTAGTTCGAGCTATCAAAATGTCACCAAACACAAGATATTAAAATATTCAAATAAACTCCATATCTACAAGCATAAAAAAATCGAAAATTGGTTTTTGAAACAAAGATAACTTTTATCATATTTATTCTCTCATTCTTTTGTGAAACATGATCCAAAAATGGGTATTAAAGTATAAAAGTAAAAATTTGCACCCCCGTCACATACCGTTTATAAATAAGGTCTCGTTATAACATATGAACTATTTCTATATTACATTTCTGAAAAAGTATGGCGAAAAAATGTGTTTTTCACATTGATAGAATAAAAACAATCTTCCTATGATTATCTACAGTAACTGCACATACATCATGTTTCATATTTCAAATCTAAAGAGATTACACTAACGACTTTGTTTTTTAAACAGTGATTTTAGTTTCAAAAGTCCCTTTAAAATGAATGTAGAAATGTTGTAATTAAATAAAGATGCTAGTTAAGAACAAATCGATTGTTTGAGTTTTCTTTTTGTTTCTTTATTTATATTGGTCGTTTTTATTCACACAGATAATAGATATATATTTTATCAATCAATGAAAAATAATAAAACAAGATAAATCGATAATATATCATTGCTAAATGCGAGACAAAGCTTTGTATTTATTCGTAATAATTCATTTTCGTTTCAATACTTACAATAAAAACAAAATTCTCTTATTATTAACTGTATAAAAAGAACAGAAAGAAATTATTCAATATTTATCAAATTTAAAATGCACACATACATATACATATATATAATTATCACAAAAAGAAAAATAAACAGATCTCGTCGTTTTCCTATCTTGTTTTTTTTTAATTATGCACGAAAAATACAACAATAATGCTTATTTACATACTAACATGATAATAAAACTATTTGTATATTGCATTATATACATAAAAGAAAGAAAACGAATTATGAATCATCATCATTATTATTCGAATTCGGAACAAATTTAAGAAGAAGTGCAGCATCAACATTTGTTGAACATTGTGGACATGTTAGACTTTTTTGTAACCATCCATCAATACATGTTGGATGAAATATATGTGCACCATCACATGGTAATTGTCGAACTTTTTCATTAGGCATAAAATCAATGAGACAAATAGCACAACTAAAGTAACAAAATAAAAACAGAACGTTATTTTTTATTTAATTTTTAAAAGAAATATTTCATTTACTCAGTTTGTTTGATTAGTTTTTCATTATAATTAATTAATGATAAATGTTCGAAAAGATTTCGACATTGTGCTTCTTTAATAAGATTAATATCTGCGGTTATGGATGAATTACCAGATGATCGATTTATTGCAACTAGCTGAAAAATGGATTCAATTATTTTAGAATAAAAAAAAAAAAGAAAATGTTTACTTTAGGGATAGATGTATCAGACGGAGCAGCAGTTGAATTTGAACTCGAGGAAGATACTGTTACTGGAGCATAACGAGTAGAAGGCATTGGTAGAAGACTAGCACGATCATCTGGTCTTCTCCAACAATTACCCATTGGAAGATGAATATGTTATCAAATCTGCCAAAAAATTAGAAACCTAACAAGCAAAAACACAAACATATGTATTTATATATCAATTACGAGTAAGGCGTAGAACAACATCAGCTGGTGTGTCTTACCAGTTCTATTCTCTTGAATAGGATTGATTGAAAATTTATCGTATAGATAAACTAATTTCAAAATAGTTTCTTTGTTCTAATTAATTTTTCAATCAAATCTATTTGCTAATACATATAAAACCAATGTTTATTATCAAATCTTCTTCGAAACAGATGTCACTAAATGTCTTGAATAGAAAAAAATCACTTCGTTAGAGATGCACACATGCACTTGTCTATCATGGCTGTTTTGTCGTCATATGTTTGTTTTCATATTCTTTTTCAATCGTCTGATTAATTAGTTTTGATTTTAGATATATTCTTTCTTCCCATTCCCTTATATTTAATTTCCCATTTGAAATAAAATGACGAGTAATAGTCGTCAATCAGCTACTGGTCAAGCAGCACGAACATGTCAATTTAAAATGGTTTTATTAGGTGAATCAGCTGTTGGTAAATCATCCTTGGTACTTCGTTTTGTTAAAGGACAATTTCATGAATATCAAGAATCAACTATAGGTGCAGCATTTCTTACTCAAACTGTATCTGTTGATGATACAACAGTTAAACTTGAATTATGGGATACAGCTGGACAAGAAAGGTAAATTAAAATCGTCTTTTCTTTTTTAAATCAAAGAATTTCTATTTATTGTCTTTCATTGTTAGATATCATTCATTAGCTCCAATGTATTATCGTGGTGCTCAAGCTGCAATTGTTGTTTATGACATAACAAATGCAGATACATTTAGTCGAGCTAAAGTATGGGTTAAAGAATTACAACGTCAAGCAGCACCAAATATTGTTATTGCTTTAGCTGGTAATAAAGCTGATTTAGCTACTAAACGACAAGTTGAAATTGTTGATGCTCAAACATATGCAGAAGAAAATGGTTTAATATTTATGGAAACATCAGCTAAAACATCCATGAATGTTAATGATATATTTATGGCCATAGCAAGAAAATTACCAAAAAATCAAGATACATCAAATACAAGTGGTGGACGAGGGCGTGGTCAAAATGGTCAATCAATAACAGTTAATTCCTCGTCAAATCAAAGAGTAACTGGAACTGAAGGTGGATGTTGTGGTAGCAAGTAAATGGATTTTCTTTTGTCGTGTTTCTTTTTCTAGTTCCTTCATGAATAAACAAAAGACGTTCTTCACGATCAAATTGAATTTTGTCAAAAATAAAATTTAAAACATATATCTTTAATTTTTCTTTTGTTCTTTCTTCTTCTTTTGTTTAATTTCTCTTGTCTTGTATCGCTGTAAATCTTTTTGTTGTCTTTTATTTGCTTATACCCTTTTCTTTTCGAATATTAAAAGAAAGAAATCAACCAACATAACTTCTATATTATATATATACGTATGCATATATCCATTGTATTCGATCTTTTTATAACTATGTCTCTTTGCATTCAGTTTGTTTTTCTGTCGCGTGTGATGATTTTGGCCGCTGATTTTTTTTTTGTTTGTTTCCACAAAGAAGGAGAAGAAGAAAATAATACAGTTTATCTTTTTTTTTTTTTAATGATATATCACCTAGAGATTTCGAATACAGACAATCACTTATGATTGCATGCAATAATGTGAAACACAATGAAAAAAAAGCACATCTTTTATATGTTTTTGTTTTGTGAAAAAAAAAAAACAGAAAGCACAAAAAACAAAACATATTATTTTATATTGTAGACTGAACGAAACATGGATATATCGATATTTAAACTTCTTCGTTCATTGTTTCTTGTTCTATTTATTACAATTATTGAATATAAACGTGGTTCATTTACACTTTCAGGAGTTTTAACTGGTTTTATACTTTGTTTAATAATAGCTTATTCAAATATTGTTTTTTTATTTGTTATGATGACATTTGTTTTAAGTGGTTCATTTGCAACACGTTATAAATTTGATATAAAACAATCAAAAATTAATGAAAATAATCATCAAATAGAAACAAGAAAGTATAAAAAGACTGCACGTAGTCATATTCAAGTGTTATGTAATGGTGCACTAGCATGCTTTTATGCAATAGGTTATTGTTGGAAAACAAATTATTCTGGTATTTCATTACCGATTGATAATAAAAACGAATCATCTATTTATTCAATTGGTTTTCTTTTTACTATGGTTTGTTGCTGTGGAGATACATTAGGTAAATTGACAAAGTCTTGTTTTTTTTGTAACTTTGTCACATTATTATACCTGCTTAGTACTAAATAATTACAAAGTTTTAGGTCGATAGCTTTTACTATAGATAAGAAACTGTAACAGCATTACCATGCATTATTTTATCAATTTTCTAGTTACATAAGTTGATATGTTTAAAGCAAAGCAACTTGTCGCAAAAAAAACAACGCATATCAATTTCCCTATGTTTCTATGTTTAATTACCCTATTGACGAATTACCAATTTTAATCATGCTGATATTTATCTATTATTTTCCAACAAAAAGAAATAAGAATGTGTTTAATTCCATTTTCATGTACCTTGGATGTATTCTATCGGTCCAAT